ACTTTGGAAGGCCGCGCTGACAGGCAATTTTCCCACTCCACTCTCGAGCGGCGCGGAAGCATCCGACACCCTGACCAACACGGCATGCATCGACCTCTCGCTGTCTCTGGCTGCTGCTTCCGATGAGAGTGCCACCGCGGCCGCCACTTGACCCCGGGTTGCTGCCGCTGGCCATGCGGCTGCCGAGCATCGACCAACGAAGATAGAGAGAAAAAATGCGGCCATAGTCATGCGGTGTTTCGGCTCTGGCCAGGCTGCAATTTCGGCCATCGCGGTCGCGCAGCGGATGTGCCGTGCCTCCGAAGGCTCGTGGCTCAGTCGAAATCGAGCTCGGTCAATTTCTCGGCGGCTGCTCCGCCTCGCGACATGCGCGGCTCAAAGGCGGCCGAAGCTGTTGCGAGCTGACTAGATTGACTCACAAGCTCGAGACGCTCTGTAGGGCCAGCTGACCTGTGCTTCCGGTCCAGCCCACACAGACCAGCCTCATCGCTCGCCGTGTCCGCTGTGGTCCAGGGTTCTGGACAGCATGGCATGGCATGGGAACCTCAAAAGTTACAGCGAATCCCTCGCGAGTCTAACACTTTCGGAACTCGGGTTTTGCACTACCCAAAAATGTCACTCCTGGCCACTTCCTTCTGACTGGAAACGTTCCGGCTTCTTGGCCGATGACGCCCCTTCAGCACATTCGACCAGCACACGCTCCCTGAGCTGTATCTTCGCGCACATGGCACCGAGATGCTATGCCCTCGTGGCCAGCTGCTCTCGATGCAGACTGGCTGCCCCGGCGCACCGTCAGCTCTCAGCTGCCGTACCCGCTGCGATCGTACCGGTGCAAGCTCACGACGCCGGCGCAGCTCCGGGGCCATCGTCGCAACGCCGCCCTTACACTAGCAGCTCGAGCTTGCCGCTTTCTGCGCCTCAGCGACCAGCACGTCCTCTCCGTCCGATCGATGGGCAACAGCGTAGACGCTTCAGCGCGACCGCCCTGACTAGCGCAAAGAAGAAGGGCAAATCCAAGGCATCCTCGTCCTCCGCAGCCGCAGACGACCAAGCGGCCGCGCCATCTCGATATCCTCCTCTGCCACCGGGCTGGCAAGCCGTCATCGGCGTCGAATGCCACGTCCAGATCAAGGACAAACACAAGCTCTTCAGCTCCGCACCGCTTCCCACGCCCTCCTCTCCACTCAACTCTCTCGTCACCCCGTTCGATGCCGCACACCCCGGCACTTTCCCTACGCTCAATCGATCCGCACTTAGGCTCGCCGCACGCACCGCTCTCGCTCTCAACTGCAAAGTGCATGGCGAAAGCCGCTTCGATCGCAAACACTACTTTTACTCGGACCTCCCCGCCGGCTATCAGATCACACAGAAGTACGCTCCGCTCGCCAACAACGGTAGCGTCAGACTCAGCTTTCACGACGGCCATCTGCCTAGCCCCGAAGATGAAGTCACGGTCGAGATCGAGCAGCTCCAGCTCGAACAAGACACAGCCAAGTCGAGCTACTTTGACACCGGTACTACATCACGCCTCGACGCCAGCAGACAGTCGCCCGCGGATGACGTGCCGGAAGCCACGCTGCACGAGGCGGACGATGAGCGCGTGCA